ATGGTAGATTTCACAGTATAATTTTGATATTCAGACAGTCTAGGATGATTGATTTTTATGATTCACTTTTTGAAGTACACATAACTCTCGGATTTAAATCCGAAGTTTCCGCATTTATTTCCTATATGAATAATAATAAAAGTTTTTATGCTATACCTGAGGTAATTGCCAACTTTTCAAAACCTCCTATGAATTTAAAAAAATTTTCATTAAATGAGATGGTAGGCACTTCATGTCATTATGTGAATAATGATAAATATTTATATGATATACATGACATGAGAAAACTACATAACACATCGAACTTGCCTAGTTACTTTCGAAACGTCAAACAAATGTGAAAATTTTCTATTACGCCAACAGGAATGGTCTTTATTTAATTGCATCAAGCATGATAAATTTTTATATGATATACTTGAGGTAATTGCACACCTTCTGAAAATTACCTGGTAACTTCCCAATTTGTTAGAGATTCGAAAAGTTTGATCAAAAAAGCAAATATCTACTTCTTCTCACTATATGTGTGTAGGTATTTGCTTATACAATATACCACAGCAACTGTCGGAATTCACTGCGTGGGTGTGCGTGTGGGTGTTGACGCAGCATGAGATTTTTCTTCATACCCACACCATAACCGTCGACCAGTGACCATCCGGTTCAAAACATCTATTAGTTAGGTGGAAACTAGCAGAATATGGCCTGCTTATTACGTCATTATTAATGCACTAATAGGAATGATTTCAGAAACAGTCATTGACCTTTTTCGTTCCGTTTTCTACAGATCATCATGAACGAATATCATGTTCTAGTTCTTCATATCTGTTTGGCTTCTCAAAGATAAATACCTGAGATATTTATATATAACTTGAAAAAAGTCTCATTTACAGATTAACTGATTGCCACATTTCAGATTTAGGATTTTATTCACTTAATCTTTACAAATAACGTGACGCTTCTCTCTTAACTATGACTCGAACCTAAATTTTATATTCACGAAAAGTCTATGAGATAAGTTTAACTGATCTAATATATTCGAATGCACTTTTTAAAAAATAATGCGTATTTCCATTAAAAACATGGAATAGAGATTGAGGTACAGAAGAATAAATTGTATAATTTTTGAAATAAAATAGGTTGGTTATTTTGATAAGGACATAAAAACTTGCTATTAACAAGTTTTATCTGAAAAATCTATACATTCGTAGAATATATTTTTATCGACAAAAAACAGTGAAAACCGGCCGGTCTGATCCCTGCAACCTGTTCGGTCTGACTGGACCGGTTGCAACTCTGCTGACTGGTATTCCTCTAGTATATATAGTATAAATATGAAATGTAACTGTCGATATTTAAAGAAAAAAACCAAAAAAGCTTTTTGTTTTGTTACTTTTGGCCCACCCTCTATATGATCTGTCTGAATTCTGAAATTTCAAGATCAGTTATTTTCATAGCCGTAGCAAATTCATTCCTTAAACATAGACCAATAGAATTAATATAGTTGAGATAGGTAGCGATCCGAGTTGAAAGTTTTTCAGAACAAAAACTTATTTGTTATTTTTTTGTTATTAATAACAAATAACAAAGATAGGTATTGTTATTGATAACAATAGCTTCTCACCCCTACAAGGTATAGAAAGAACAAATCCACACCGTCACACTGATGACTTCAGAGTGAACAAATATTCACCTAAATAAAATAAAAAAGAAAGCATTTCTTCAATAGAAAAAACGTTCAATTTAAAGAAAATACGTTGAAGTATCAGAATTTCAAATATAATAAGTCTTTATTGTAATGAGACAGATATTAATTAAGACGAATAGTAATCTTTGCAAGGAAATTCAAATTCCCGCAGTATAACTCATTCATTAACAGACGATCTATGAGATTCATCAAATAAACCGATTAATTAAACTTCAATAAAATAAAAGCGTCTTAAGATGAATGAATGTCTAAGTAGAATTTCAATCGAATAATTCATGTAAGTACTTAATTGTATTAGTAGAATGAATTTATATGAAAAGTATTTCTTATTCATCTCGAAAATCTTTTCAAGAATTTTCATTGATTAAAATAGAAAAAAACAAGAAAAAATAAATAAATCTAGTAATATAATTGATGTTTTGTTGTTTTCAAATCACAAAACTAAAATGAAGAAAAAAAAAAGAAAAGTAGTTAGTTGTAAAAAACAGTATGAATAATAGTATTATTTGTTCTTAAAATTTCAATTGAATTAGATTGATTATGTCGTTCAACAAATGGATAAATATGTTTAAGATCATCACATTTAGTTGAAATAACTTCTTGTCCTGTTTCATTTCTATGATCCCAAAAATGTCCAATACAATCATCATATGGATTAAAATCAAATAATTTTTCAGGATATCTTGGGGCAGGTAACCATAATTCTCCAAATGGTCTCATAACTAATGGAAAAATATATTCTAATTTAATAATATTATCAGGATCAGATATTTCCCATAAATGTGTTTCATTTTTTTCATAGAAAAAAACATCAATAAATGGAAAATTCCATGAATAATCTCCAGCTGATGGAGTACTTTTGAAAAAAACTTTATAATATTTCGGTTGTTTTTTTTTATTTGATAAAACATAATGTTTTACTAATGTTTCATTTATTGTATTAATTATATTAATAAAACGAATATGTTCTTCAATAGGTATAATTAAATCAATATCATCATCCCATGGTATTATATCATGATGTCTATATGAACCTAATAATGAACCATAAATTAACATAAATGTTATTTTATGTTTTCGACATATTCGTTCAATAATCATTAATAAACGCATAACTAATGTATGTTCACATGGTGTTAAACGTCGATAAAGTATATTTGATGATTTCCATTGTGAATATTGATAAGGTAAACGATAAAGTCTTGTTGAATTAATTGATGGAGATTTTAAATAAGGTGATTGAGGTAAATATTGTTCACTATCATAACGATATGCAAGATCAAGACACCAAACAGAATAATAATCAACTGATACTTTTTCATCTTCTGTATTATTTAATATTTTATAAAATGTTTTTGTTGTAGATGAAATATTTAAAAAATGATATGATGAACATTTTAAATATTGAGAAGATTCAATTGATAGTAAAACAATTAAAATAAATATAAGTAAACAGAAAAAAATACTAAGAGCTAGTTGACGTATTGATATTGATCGAATAATCATCTAATTCGTTTATAAAATAAATTGATTCTGTAGTAGAAAATAAATTATAAAATAAATAATGTTAAATTGTAATTAAATAAAATTTTAGATTTTATTGAAATGATATTCTCTTTAAAAATTCGGATAAATAGTAGTTGGCATTATGATAAGAATACATGATAAAGATAAAATGTTTTACATGCTGATTAAAATAAATCCAATCCAAAACAGAGCAGATATTTCAAATAGTTTTTCTCTCTTTCTTCCAAAACATTTTTGTATCGATGCATGAAACTTTTTATCTTTGTTATTTATTGTACAAATGATACAGAGTAATACTCGTCGAAAGTTAAAAATAAAATTATAAACGTGAAGAATATTACAAAGATATAAAAATATTTATTGCTGATATTCAATGCTGAAGTTGTATTGAGTCTTTGATTGTTTATTTTAGGTGGAAATATCGATACATTATTGATAAGTCGTATTTTTGATGAGGATCGTTCGAATGGATATAGAAATATTGGTATTAAGTAATGAATTTTTACACCATTGAATCAATATTTCGTGGAACAATTTATTCTTGAATTTGTGTTCTATATGAGAAAAGGACTTTCAATATGCTGAAATAATTTCTAAAATTTTCTGTTAAATTATAATTATTTCTATTATTCACGTATTCTTTTGAAATATCTGAAAATTAGTTAAACTGTTATGCGCTATATATTAGAGCAATTTTATAAATAATTTATCTTATGTTATTATACGAAATCGATTGAAGTATATTAGATGGAGCTTCATAGATGGAAACATTTACTTGAGGTAATGTAAAATTAATTAATGCTGAATGCATTTTAGTTCGTTATAAAAAGCTTAAAGAAATCTATTTGTGTTTATATAGTCTGATAGTAAAATAATGTTCTATTTTTTTTTGTCGTATTTGATCATTCTTAAACAAATATCATTATAATAAAATTTCAATAATATTTGTTTTTATTATCATAATATAATGGTTAAATTAGTTTATTTTTTCTTTGATATGTATTTTCTTCTTAATATTTTCGTTGCTTTTTTCCACTAGAAATACAGTTAACCTCAATCTCGACAATATTTCTCTATGTTTCAGATGAATATTGGAAATTTTCTCGTCTATATTCAAATATGCAGTGCTCTTAATATCTAAGCAAGAGTTATTTATAATGAATAATATTCAGTTTGTGGTGATGAAGTTAATTCTCAGAAAATAGTAGGAAGATGATTGCAGTAGTTTCGTGAAAGCAGATGAGAGCTTGAAGATGAAGCATTTTCTACTTATTTCTCTGCTTTGGTTTTGTTTTGTCATTAATACTTTTTATATATTCTAATATTCATAGAAAACTACGCAAGAAAGGAGATGAAGAAAATCAAACAGAGAATACATATCGAAAGCAATATAAAGTATCTTAGCTGTCACATATTATAGCCAAGCAAATTTTATTTTTTACGCAGATTAAGAATATCGGCCGTTTTCAGTGAAAAACCTTTGGAATCCACACCGATCTTAAATTAGAATCATTATTCGAAGTGAAAGAATTTAAATTACCTTCGTCACTATTGTTGAATTGTCACAGATAAAAGTAGAAGATTAGTAAATATAAAAAAATAAATGAGAAATATTCAAAAATATATAATCTAAAATTATTGAAAAATAAAAGAAGCAGGAACATTCCAAGAAAAACTAGTAAATAGGATTAATTATAATAGAAAAATTACATATGACTCATCGCTCGTCGAATAATCACGTCATCTGTATTTGCTTGTTCTGAATCTAATGATTAAAGCTAAAATATGAAAAAAGTAAGTAAGTAGTTCTATTAATATAAAACTAAAAAATAATTATTTGTATTATAATGTGTCTATCAATGCTAAAAGCTAAATATTACGTATTTACTCATGTCTATGTATTATTAATGCAACTAGACGGATTGTTTCTGGATATAAAACAGATTGAAAATCATTTTCTAGAAAAGATAAAACAATTTTCTCATACAAATCTAACATATATTCGAATGGTTTTTGAGAAAATAATTATATGGCAATCCCAACATACTCATTTTCACTTTTGAAAAATCGAGCATTTTGATCTTTGTAATTCTATAAACATTTTTCGATTTAGTCTCAAAGGTTTAAAGAAGCTTTTGTAAATTTTTTTGATGCTGCTCTTTGGCTTTAGTCATGCTGGAAATTTACTCTAAATGTTCTAGTCTGTTTATCAACTCTCAAAAAAAATTGATAATTTTGAACAATTCGTAACGCAATCCAACTGACCAGTTCAATCTGCCACTTTTCCACACAGTGAGACAAAGCTACCATCAACAGACAATTATCGCCTAGAAGACATCGTACCTAAACTACGACCAACGTTGCGCAATAAATGTCACCGATTTGACTGATATTTTTACAGTAACTAGAATTAACAGATTTAGGAAGAAACTCAAAATTTTAGCTCAAACACATACGCCATCCTCAACATATAAACATTGAAAGTATGTGGGGGTAGACTATATCATCGCTTAGATACAATGCCTCTTAGACATGTATCAACTTGATTCTACCTAGAAAATAAGATGAATATACAATTGTAAAATAAGTCAATTGTTGCTGATCTTTTCTGCCTATTAACTCCAGTGATCACCTGAATCCGATTAACAGAATCTCTTTTCCATTAAAGTGAAATTCGATAATTTCACTCGAAGCGATGGGCAGTGCACCAGCAACCAACGAGGTAGCAATTACTTCCCCTAATTGCTCATGTTTATCCGAATGTTATTTCTTCATGTTTTCTGAACTTTTAATTATCAAGTAACTTCAATTTGTACTTCTTTCTGTTGTCGTCCATAATCACCGTATAAGAACGTATTCATAAATAGATCCACTAACTGATAACATACATAGTTAAGTAAACAGTGTCCATGAGAAAATTGCAATATTTTCAATTCATTATTATGTTTATAATTTCATCAACAAGAAATAGCTGTTAAAATGGAAGACAATCTTACAAATGAGTATCAACTTGAAAACCAAATGACTGATACACTACGCTCAAACTCTGACCTTTCTCCTCCAAAACCAATTCCAGGATCAAGTACATTCAAATCTTCTGAAATTTTCAGATCATGTTAAGACTGATGTGGAGACATTATGGTAAAAATTGTTAGTCCTATACCATGATGTTTGATAGAGATATGTACCAAAAAAGAGCAAAAAATAGCTCATTTTGCAATCCATTTTTCTCCGTCCGGGCTCTTTCAACATATTAAAATTCTTTTTTGTTCGAAAGAAAAACCCTCTAAAAATGAGCACAAAGGACTAGGGCCGATAAGGCTATTTTTCTGTCCCCAACAAAATTGACTTTTTTTTATCGATTCACAGTCAGACATGATGCCTGATGATATTTCAGGAGTCAGATTTTGAAAAACTGGCCAAA